TCTTCTATTTTCTGAAAGAATTTGTATAGAATTGGTGTTCTTTCTTCATGGTTTGGTAGCATTCACCAGTGAAGTCATCTGAGCCCACGTTTTCTTACTGGCAAGATTTTTAACCACAAACTCAATTTCTCTAATTGATGTAGGACTACTCAGGTTATCTGTTTCTTCTTGAGTGAGCTTTGTGTATTTTGTGTCTTTCAAGACATTTGTCTATTTTATCTAAATTGAATTTATGGGCATAAAATTGTTCTTAATATTCTCTTATTATCTTTCTAATGTTTTTAGAACTTGCAGTGACTCTGTAGTCGCCTAATTCCTGACATTGGTTATTTGCATTTTCTCTCTTTTATTTCCCAATCATTCTGACTAGATTTGTCAATTTTATTCATCTTAAAGAACCAGTTTTGGATTAATTTATTTTCTCTGTTCTTCTTCTGTTTTCTATTTCATTGATTTCTGCACTGATCTTTATTATTTTTGTTTTTCCTGCTTCTTTGGGTTTAATTTACTCTTTTTTCCCCTAGTTCTTTAAGGTACAAAGTGAAGTTTTTGATTAATGACCTTTTTTCTCTTCTATTACTAATATAGGTGTTTACTTGTATAAAATTCCCTCTAAGTACAGCTTTACTTACATCTTTCAAATTCTGATACATTGAACCTTCAGTTCAAAATGCTTCCTAATTTCCCTTTCTTTGGGATTTTCCAGATATCTTTCTCTTATTTTTAATTGAAATTTTATTGTAACCAGTGAATATACTCTGTATGACTTGAGCCCTTTTAAATTTATTGAGATTTGTTTCATGGCCCAGAATATGGTTTATCTTGGGAAAAAAGTGGTCCATGTGCACTGGGAACGTGTGGTCTGTTACTTTTGGGTCGAGTGTCATTTAGGTGAAGGACATGACAATTAGGTGAAGATGGTTGGCAGTTTTGTTCAACTTTCCTGTATCCTAACTGATTTTCTACTTGTTCTATCAGATATTGAGACAGAGATATATGATCTCTACTTACAGTTTGGGACTTTTCTATTGCATCTTGTAGTTCTATCAGTTTTCTCTTTGTGTATTTTGGAGCTCTGTTATTAGATCCATTAACATTTAGTATTGTTTTAGCGTCTTGATGAATTGACATTTTTATCACAATGAAATAACCTTCTTTATCCCTGGCAGTATTCTTGGCCTTTTTAAATGTTTAAAAACTTTTTTTGTGTGTCTTTGTTTTTTTATGAAACATTTGAAGAGGAATTTCTGAATTAAAGGATTTCAACCTTTTAAAAGTTCTTAATATCTTGCCAAATTGCTCTCCAGAAAGGCTGTACAGATTGATACTTTTCTAGGTAGTCTTTAAGTGTTTATAAACTTAGGTGATCTTGATAGGTAGCAAGATTAACTAAACTGTACAATTCTGTTAATCACAGGATAAAATATAATACCATTTATGTAACTTGTTTTATAGAATATAAAAATGCTATGTATATTTTTTGTTATCACTATATCTCTTGTTTTATAGGCATAAATATAAAAAAATTCCTATTTCTGTAATAGGGTTATTTAAGAGGATTTGATTTCTTTAAGTTTGATTAATCTTTTCTGTGTATTTTTTGTGGCATCTTCAATTAATATCTTAGAGATGGTTTTT